AGAGCCTCACATGAGTACCTCCACAAACACAAGGCAGAAGAGCCTGCTGCCCCCAAATGCCTGTGATCTAAATAGAAAAGGCAGATGATGAGTGGGAAGAAAGGCACAGGAAAGGGAAGTGATTTGCTCAGGGCCAAGCCATCAGTAAATATCAGCCTTGCCTCTCCTGAGCTGTATTTGTGTGACCTATGCACTGCTTGAGTCTTCCTAACATATTGAACCAGCATATTGTGAATGCCACTGGAATTTCAGTATTAAATCACAGCAAATGGCAAAGTGGGAGGAGAACTGGGACTGCTGAATTTACCAATGAATTTATGTAGAACTCCAGCGCTTCTTGGAAGAGCTCGGCATCTCTCAGGACCTGGCTTTTATTCAGATGCTACAATATGTTCCTGTCCAAATAGAGAAGTTTCTAAAACTAGCACTGAGTAGTCAAGGGGATTCTTCTACAATGAGCTGAATATTATTTTCACTAACTTGACTACAAAAGACCTTTAAAATTGTTCTGTGGTCTAAACAGTTGGTTGATTACTCTGACCCCATTTTCTAGGTACTTTTAAAAGAATGCAGCATTTAGGGAGTGAGAGATTTTATACTGAAAAGACAAATGGTGGGTGTCTTTGAAATCGAACTCGCACTGCTCTGATTTAATAGACCCCCAAATCCAATTAGACTCCCCTGCTTAGCAGAACCCGTCTAGTGGGTAGAGATAGAAAATATTCTTTCTCAGTGAAAAAATGCTTTTTACTCTATTCTCTTCACACAGCGAATCTGTTATTCCTTAACCAAGAAAAGGATACCTCCATGTTTAAGCATTATTACTATATACATATGTATGAATTCCTGTCATGGTTAGCTCTGCTCTGCTAGATAACAGGAAAATACAGAATAAACAGACTGAGTTGGCTGCACTGTAGAGACAGAAGAGTGCTGTCCACCCAGGGATACCCTATAGCAGTACAAAGCATCCTTAATGCTGAAATGTAGGTCATAGCCTGGAGGACAAAACTGATGTCCCCAAAGGACTGTGCCCTCCTTGCACAAGAAGACTAGGCTGAGTTTGGAGACTAAGCCCCGGTGCTGTTCCCAGGGAATGTCTGCAAGGAAAATCAAATCTGTTACTGCTTCTTATTTTTATGACCCAGCCTTGCAAGAAGCTGATTGTTTCAGTCCTAGCACAGCAGGTGAAGCAAGAAGAAGTGGTGAGTGGCTGTTGTAAAGTTGCCATGGCTTTACCGCAAGGCAGCTATGTACTGGGATGGCAAACTACAAAAATCAGCTTGCTCCATGGTGGCCAGCATACGCATGCAACACAGTTACACCTACACTGACCAATGCTCATTTTAGCTACTCAGCTGCTCAGTGCTATAAATACCTGTATTTTATGATGATGCTGTGCAATTTAGGCCAAAACATAAAATAAAAATGAACTGAGGCAGAAGAAGTGAGACAAATACACAGTTTGTAGCTGACCTTCTAATTTTCCTGTTCAAGCTTTTTACCTCTGAGCCAACTTTCTGAAATTCAGAATAACACATAGAAGGGGAAAAGCTGTGAGTCTACTACCACCTTCCAGTGGAACCACCAAGGCCTTTAAAGAAAATAAATTGCTGCAGGGTGGGAAAAAAAAGATGGTTTCTATCTGTGATGCAGCAAGGGAAAAAATATCAACAAGATCAGTACCTGTAGAAAGCCCAGCAAGAAAGCACTTAGCAACATGCACAGACAAAAGTGCTGTTTTGTACATTTAAATCCAGACAGGACTATCTTTTCCTGTCATATGCTGTGAGGTTAGAGTCAAGTTTATTAACATATCAAAGCTGAAATGATAAGCTATAAATGTTTGATAACCTCTATGCAGGACACTGAACATACAGTATGCCACTTCACTAACTTCCTTCATTTGTGATTGGGAAGTGATTTTCCCCTGACATTATTATCAAATGATCCTTAATTCTGAAGAATTAAAAAAAAATATTCTATTAATTTAGAGTTTTGTCCAAAACATGTCAAAGCTAATTTGAAAAATCCCTTTGACATCATTAGCTATTAGAACAGTTCTGCTCAGAAAAGTGTTTTAATCTGTGTAATTCCACAGAAATACACATCTGGCACAGGGGAAGGTGATTCATAATTCTGGTCTCTGTTTTTCCTAAGTGGGATTAGACCCCTTCATCTGTGTAAACCAGTGGGGTAGCACTGGAGTTGGGGTCATTGTGCTAAATGAAAACCAGGCACACAGGATATAAGGGGGGGTGTGTGTGTCATAGATTCGTATCGGCTGAGGATCTGAACCACAGGGTGCATTAACAGGCTCTGAGAAGCAACATGGCTCTGTAATCAGGACAGACATTGCAGCATTAACAGGGTGAACAGGGAACTTGGAGCTGAGGGAATGTGAATGACTAAAAAATGTTTCTTTGGCCACATTTTTGTCTTTAGGGTGTTGACACTTCCCTTTAGTGTCTCTGGGAACTGCCAGCAATGTCAACCTGTCCTGATACATAATTGTCTGTATTAATTTATTCAAAAAACCTCTATAATCCATATCAATTAAAGCAAAATTCTTCATTGAAGTGGAAGTTTTTATGTTCTGCACATAACTGAGAGTGTATGTTTTTCAGGGTCCGTCCTGAAGTGCAGAGAAAGTGATTTCTGGAATTTGGATTCTCTATCTGATACATCATTCCCATATATTATTATATTATTCTGCCCCTCTACTCTGCTCTGGTGAGACCTCACCTAGAGTACTGCGTCCAGCTCTGGAGCCCTCAACACAAGAAGGACATGGAAGTGTTGGAGAGGGTCCAGAGGAGGGCCACAAAAATGATCCGAGGGCTGGAGCACCTCTCCTATGAGGACAGGCTGACGGAGTTGGGCTTGTTCAGCCTGGAGAAGAGAAGGCTGCGGGGAGACCTGATTGCAGCCTTTCAGTACTTAAAGGGAGCCTATAGGAAAGATGGGGAAAATCTTTTTAGTAGGGCCAGCAGTGACAAGACAAGGGGTAATAGTTTTAAACTAAAACGGGGTAGGTTTAGACTAGATATAAGGAAGACATTCTTTACAATGAGGGTGGTGAAACACTGGAACGGGTTGCCCAGAGAGGTAGTGGAGGCCCCATCCCTGGAAACATTCAAGGCCAGGTTGGATGGGGCTCTGAGCAACCTGATCTAGTTAGCGGTGTCCCTGCTCACGGCAGGGGGGTTGCACTAGATGACCTCTAGGGGTCCCTTCCAACCCAAAACATTCTATGATTCTATGATTCTATGATACTGTTACAAAAATCACCCCTCAGGCTATACCAAATTTGGAGTAGCTGCCCTTTGTAGCAGGCACGGACAGGATACCACACAGTGTTGCTGGAGGGACTGATGGACCCTTGGAGAAGTTATCCCAATTATCTTCCTGGTTTTATTTCCACCTTGGGAAATTAAATGACATAACAATAATAATAAGAAATGATACAGCAATGCATTTCCTCTCCAAAGTACTAGGCAAATTTCAGTGAACACCTTGTTGCTGACTTGCTCTGAGAGAGACCCTAACAAAAAAAGTTTTAAGAAGCTGTTACAGAAGATTGAGAATAATGTGTATTAAAGCCTCCAACTGGGGCCCCAGTTATGCTATTGAACTGGCTTCACTGAAGCATTGACAGACTTAGGCTGATGTATCTAAGAGCTGAATTATTAAAAGTTGAAAGCGATGGCTTCCTGCTCTGAGGGGTCATCTTGTGTGCAAAATTTGTCAGGTCTTTGCAGAAAAACAGTTGGCAAGCCATGGTAGTCTCCATGGAAACCAAAGTCTGGGAGGACACATGGGCTGCCCTGCTCATTCCTCGAGTCAGGGCTGAGTATGTTCAAGGGCTGCACAGGAAAGATTATATGTTTTACCATTTGCAGTATACCCACTTTACAGATAAACAGAGGAACTCCAGAGCTGTCAGTTTAATGCCAGTTTTACAAGCGAAAGCAACTTGTGCTGTGCCATTTTCTTCTAAAGGACAAGAGGTGTGAGATGTTTGCTGTACCATAGCAAAATCCAGAAGTCCAAATTCTCCTTTCAAGTGCAACAAGAAGACAAGGAGAGCCAGAAGTAACTCTGGAGAGTTTACTTCTCTGAAGGCTGTTACAGATTTAAGAGCTGGATGGCACATGCTCCATGAACTCTGTAGGGTCCTTTGAAAGACACAGTTTTCTTCTCTCTGGCCTGAACTACCCTAAGAATCCCATTTTTTGAGAATCTTTATCTTGCTACAAATTAATCAGAGGATTGCCTGTGCAAGGACTAGAGGGTCTTAAGAAATTCCTCCATTGCACAGGAGGAAAGAAAAGCTCTAATCTTGGGGAAAGTGTACCATTAGCACACATTTTCATAACAAGATGGACCTCGCTGGTTCTACCCATTCATGGCTTCCCACATAGGATATCATCGATGTTGGTGAGCACTGGATGTGGTGGGGACCCTTCCTGAGCCATCAGGACCAGACAAATCAAAGCATGGCCACCAGGCCCCTGCCACGGCCATGGCTCTTCTGGGAGCCTGTTATCAAGATTTTATGATCAGTTGTTGTAAAACATCTTCTTCTGGGCTCCACTTTGCAAACACAGTTTCCATCACCTCCTGTTACTCATTCTCTAAGCAACCAGTTTGAGTGCGTCTGCTGACATCTGCCCCCACTGAGACCAAAGCAAGTTTCTGCAATACCATTAGTGCAGAAAATGTCAACATTGTGTGTGTTTGGGCCCCAAACACACTTGTGTGGCATATTTCTTCCTCTATATTCCTTTAAAAGAAGAGGTTTTGTAGATTTCAGAGATGCCTCCATCTGTTGTCACTGAGGGTCACTTACTGAGTGTTTCTCTCCTGCTCAGACGTCTAGATGATGAGCACATTTTTACAATAGTTCTGTCTTACAGACATGTTTGGTTTTGAGCTATCTAAAGGAAAGTCTGGATTTGTTTTAAATGCACAAATGTGATATTTTTGATTGGCTTTACACAGTTAATTTTTTCTGAAAATGCTGAAAATTTATGCTTAATAGAAACTTGGAACAGGAGGAGATTGTCACTTGATGTCTGAATCACCTCTCATCTTTGTCAGTGAGCATCTTTTTATTAGCTTCAGTATGCTTTGGATTAGACCTCAGATGCAGGCAAGTATATTCAGTGCACACCCTTTAATATTTTCACATTAGTATTAATGTTGTGGCAGGCTGCTCTTAAGAGATACAGTATTGCCTGATAAAATTAAATGGTCAGGTAAGTAAAAGAAAATGTCACCTCTTTTGCTCTGTGCAAGGATTTAATATGAAATACAAACCACAAGGACTAATTGCTGAATTCGTCTCTCAGCATAGGTCTTATTCAGGTCACTGGACCTCTTAGCTGCATGAAGGCAGTTTTCTCAGATGTTAAAACTGCAGGAAAATAAGGTCAGAGGGTTAAGGAGCAGCAAACATTTCTCAACCTGACCATGCTTGACTCACTGAAAGCCAGCAACTATCATATCAGCAATTGTGGGTTTTCTGAGTCCAGTATTTAGAAGAGCTCCATGTCAGACTGCACCGTGTTTACTCAAAGACCAGATGACTCAGGACTTAAGCAGTCTCCTTGTGTTTGCATGAGACATGTTTAAAATACATATAAATCTTTTGGGGTAAGACATCCTTGGGTACCAAGAGCATAGAAAAAGCACAATAAAAAGCTATTGTATATCCAGTGCTTAGCAAATCTGACACTTGCCCTACAGAAAATGTAAGATCATTAAAGGCTATTTCCTTACTCTAAATAGGCAAATCTAAGATGACCCTCGGACCCTAAGTTTCTAAAAGCCGCAAAAATAAAAGCTGGCTGGGATTCAAGTAAACGCACTATGAGCTTGAAGGGAGAGAGAGCAGCAGCAGGTACCTGGTAGGTACCTGACCCAGGGGCAGTTGGGTGCAGCAGGCTGTGGGGGGAGGCAGAAGGCTTTTTCTCTCCACTTGGCAACTCGCACAAGGATTTTAAAAACACAAAAGGAGGGGGATGATGGATCGGGCTGCACGCATCTGATGCTTTTCCCAGTTTCTACGGTGTCATAGACATTAAAGACAAGAATGGGAGTGCGGAGAGAGGCAGACAAGAGTGCACCAAGAGGCATCTTGCATCCCTCTTGAACCAAGCAGGATGCTCATGACGCAAAGCAGAGGAGCAGCAGCTGCAGCAGCCAGACAGCCCTGGAGCGTGGCAGAGTCAGGCCTGCAGCTGAGCCAACGTGGGCAGTGCCCTGCCAGCCTGCTGGGCAGCGCCTTGCGAGCACGGACCGGGCAGCTGACGGCCAGAGGTCTCACTGCTCCCAGAAAAAGAGGAGTGATGGCAGTGAGCAGGGCAGTTGGGAGGAAGGATAACACGAAGTCCTTAATTTGCCTGAAGGAGGGAGAAGATGGTCTGAAAAAGCAACAGGGAAGGTCAGGACTCCAGGTTTCTGTTCCTGCGTAACTATGGGCAGCTCCCCTGCCCTCCGCAAAATCGCCACCACCAACTTCATCTGCTTCACAGAGGTATGGGTGGCTTTATGTTCATGGAAGCAGTTATATTACTGCTGCACATGTCCAGGTAACTTCCCTGGTAAGCTGTCAGGCCACAGAGGACTTTACCTCACCTGTTACTGAAATGCAACAGTCAGGCGATCGTTCAGGCCATTAATTATTCACCAACGTTATCACTGCTCCAAGCAGAATGGAGCTAGTTTCCCCTTTGTAATTAAAAAGGAGCTAATCTGATCTGTGATAGAGCTTAGTATCACAGCACCCAGAAACCCAGGACACCTGATCACCTCCCAGAGTGATGATGATGCATGCAACAACTGTATTTGTGAAAGGTGCCCTGCTGCTGATTTAGGCAGGTGGGAGATCTGAATTGCTCAGCTTTTGCTCAAGCCCTGTGTCCAGCAAAGGTGATGACAAGACTCCCATTAACCTCCGTGGGAGCAGGGATAGGATCAACATGTAGGTGTTTTAAAAATCCTGCCTTCAAGCTTGATCCAAAGTCCATTGCTGTTAAAGGTGTCTAAAAGTAAAAACTAAAACTTGGCTCAAACTCATATTTATTAGATCTCCAAGCCAAAAAATATGGCTTAATCCTATTAAATATTAGCCTGCTTTAAAATGGATTTTGTAAGTAGGTAAGCTTTCTGACTTCTGTGTTGCAAGGGGTATGTACAAACCACTATGCCTCCTTACCAAACGTGTTTGTGCCATATCTATTTTCCTTGGGAATTTATCCTGTGGGATGAACATACATCTGCAATGTCAACACCCCCTTCTTCCCTTCTCCCACTTCAGAGAACTTGGAGATGAGCCCTCTCTTTTTAGAAATGACTTTTGTGTAAAGTGATGATTTCAATCTCAAAGTCCAGGACTTGGTGTTTTCTGCAGTAGTTCAGTATCCCAGTGAATCCTGAAGGATTGATGGTACAATTGAGAGTACTCAGTTCCTTGTACAGTGGCCAGGCACATAAGGTCTTTGGACTGTGCCACCAGCCCCTTAGGACCTTGTCATTTCTTTCACTGTTTTTCTTTTGTCTTCCTATGTCCCGTATCTAGGGCTGAGTGTTCCCTCACTGATCTCTTTCTCTCTCTCTCTCTCTTTCTTCTCCCCCCCCCCCCCCCCTCCTTACCTTGCTACCACTATTGGGATATAGAGTAAAGATGCTGGTATCAGGACTTTGGTTATGTTGGATGAGCAAGGAGGTAAGTTGAGATTGCTTCAGTAAGGAAGTATAACCGTTCTCAAAGTACTGTGCTAACTGTGTGGAATCCTGGAAATGAGGGCCATAAAACACATGTATGGGTGTGCATGAGAACCCAAGAATCTCTTTGCCTTCAGCTTTGTTGTCTGACAGAGGAACGTACAATAACTGCATGATAGTCTGTACTTCTTTTGATCTGTTTCCCATTAATGTCAAAGAGACCTGCAGGCTGAACTCATCCAAATCATCATTTTTTCAGCAAGCCTTGGGTCAAGATCCAGCTACACAATGGGAAGATTTGCCTCCATAACTGTAAAATCCAACATTATTTACGCAGGTGCTACATAATTTTCTCACTTGTTTTAGTTACAAGTGAAAAGCATGCATTAAATGCAACCAAGAGAAGGTAAAACAGGTTTAGCTTGCATAAAATTCAGTTGCTTTTCGTATAGAAATGTCAGTGAGGATAACAGGAATTTAACATTAAAAGCTATGACACAATCAACTCATTACAATCGACCATATAGGAGCTTTCAAGCTTATACAAGTCCCTGTCTGTGGATGACAGTGACAAAGACAGAGCCAGATATATTCCGTATGTTCCAGAAATTTACATTTTTTCCCTTCATAACACTACAAAGAAGCAGGTAGCTTCCCCCCGGCCTGCCAAACTAATAAGTCTTCATTTGCTGCAGACCCACAGCACCAGCAAAATGATGTTTTTAAAAAGAAGTTAAATCAACAGAGTAAAAATTTCTGCTACTCTATATCAAACTAGTTCCCCAAAGGACCTTGGTATTGTTTAACATATAGCATGATACAAAACTGTATTAGAAAATGTTTTCTACAGAGGTAATGCTCTATTGCTTATCAAGCCCAGGCAACGATTATAGGCAACAGTACGGACTGCAGAACCTGAGACACCCCTTTCATCTGTAATGTCCCTGCCTTTCTGGCACTAAAATGAATGAAAAGTAATAACAGGACCTAAACAGAAAGTATTCTCTTCTATTTGCTTTTATATGTATGTCTCATTGCTTCCCCCCCCAACCTCCACCTTTAGAGAATTTAACCTAACCAAGTTTTGTTGCATCGATTTGTCGTGACAAGAAAAAAATTACAGAGAATATTTTGTTGTCTTCAAAATTTTTTGAATAACAGCAGTAAAAGAACTACCACTGAATACAGAAAAACCAGAAATTACTTATGTTGAAACAGATATGGCACCTGTCTAAATAATGTGGTTTGTTTCAGAAGTTTCGGTTAAAATAAATCACAAATATTGTCAGAGAAAGTCTGTAAATACCCAGCTGTGTCTTGCAATGTAATTCACAGGCAGAGCAGCAGAAACTTTAGTGGTCTTGGGAAAGTAAATTTCTGTTCTTTAACTGTTATTTTTCCACAGATTGATAGGGGGTTTTGTTTTGGTTTTAACACTGAATTTTGTTTTTTACTTTGGAGTTCTGCTAAACCCCCGTATGCCCAAATTGTCCCACCGACTCTCTAGTCATGCTAGGAAGGGTGGGCTGTGTGAGTCACTGACCTCTTTGGAGACCAGGGAACTCAGTATTAAACTCTCATTGACAGTAAAACCTGGAACATATATTGTGTGGCCAGAAGTGCAGTTAGTCGATACTTATAGGAAAGAATTAGACAATTTAAAAGCCTCTTTGAATTGGTAATGGTCATGCCTTAAGGGGTTCAGTAGATTAAGCTTGTGACTATACAGTACGGGTTTCTCAAGGAAAACAGTCTAACAATGATACAAACTCTGGCGATATTGTAACCACTGTACTATGTTAAATATTGAATTAAGCTTTGTCCATTTTAGCCATATGCAGCTGTAATAATTCCTGATTTTTTTAAAATTATTTTAGCGATAAAGGACTTACTATATTATTGGGCAAAATACTCTAATGATGACTTTGAACCCTCTGTCATTAGCGCAATGTGTGCAACTCACGGATGTCTCTGCAGATTATCAGATTAAGGAAATAATTTGCTAACACTGCCATGTGATCTCTTTTCAGCTGACTGCACAAGTCACTTAAGATTATTAGGTGTTAAATAGACAAAAAACATGACATTGATCTTTCCAGTGGGCGGCAAGCAGAATATCTAATCTCTGCAGTTGCTTGAAGCTCTATTTCTAAGTTTCCTTATAAAATTGCTTGCTTTGAAGTTAAACAGACCTTACAAGGAAAACTTCTTTGAGCCGATCTCAATCTAAATAATGCAAAGCACAACTCATTTTCTGATATCAATAAGCAGAAGTCTTTGGGATCATAAAAGGAAAGAAGTCAACATAATTTTACAATACTGGGTATTTATACAATAAAGCCAGCCTGGCTAGCTCCTGTTGCCGAAATGTTTAGCACAGCCAGCTGCACAGCAGACCAGAGAGTCTGTTATGACCCTACTGAGATGTAGAGCTTTTCACAAGAGCTTTCATTACTCCTATTTCAGAGAGAATGGGACTGTCATAAAAACTAGAGACCTCCTCCAGCGCTCTTTGAAGTCACTGGGAATCTGAGCGGGCTTTTGGAGTAGTCCCTCTGCAATACCAAGAGTTACCATATTTTGAGCCTGGTATTGTCACCCAAACCAATTCAACACAGTTCTTCCCCGGGGACCCCACAGGAAGGAGCTAAGAGGTTAGGTTGTCCTTGCTGAGATTTTTTCCATCAGTGAGAAAGTCTCTCCTGGACCCTATGTGCATCCATAATGCTTATATTTTTTCAAACCTGCCCTCAAACCAAACTCCCTTAATTAATTATTTAAATATAGATATGTACATAACACTTTAAACTAAAATATTTACATTTTGCACTAAAAATTTCATGCTGCAAATGATTATTGAGCAGTGGCAATTTCTCTGCTTCATTAAATACGTCTTTGAAACATGCTAGCTTAGAAAAATGTTAACATTTGGATGCATGCTGTTTAAAAGCAGACCACAGAAATGAAAATGGTTGAACTAAGTGGGGATATGAAGACAAACCTGAATTGCAGACATAGCAGGGGTCCCAGAGTGGTAGGTCTCTTCCTCCAAAGGACATTCCCATCACCTGGGAGTATCAGCGGCAAGAGAGATCTGGACATTCAACGACCTTTTTTTTTTTTGTATGATGTCCTCATGCAGTGTATTACAAAAGAAATTTGTTCTTGTATTCAAAACGGGGTGGAGAGGAGAAACTTTTCCAATAACAACAGTAGCGGCACAGCCATTTTTTCACGCAAGGCAAGATAAAACAATATCCACGTTTTTGATAAGCCACAAAGAAAATATCAATGCAATTGAAATTTTCTCCCTGCACCGCATCAAAAGCAAATGTACAACCAGCAATGCCAGAGAACACAGAGGGTAGCTTGATCTACCCAGCAGATCTGCACTCCAGATCAAGTCAAAGCACGGACATAAAACTTCGGAATAACTGGGTGACCCTACAAGCAAAAGGGTTGACGCCAAGTGATGGTGCCCATGCTAGCTGACCTCTTCATTTTTTTGCATGAGTTGAAAGTTTTACAGTTTTGTATGAGTTACAGCTGACCTGTTTCTTTGGCACTGGAGAAATAACTACAGTAAATACAAAGATAATTACCATTCCTTTCCATCGGAGAGCAAAATGATGGCCCCTTTTACAAGCACCTTCCCCAGCTTATGTCTTATTCAACAGCTACCACAAAAATTGAGCTGCTAAAAGCACTCCAACACCTATGAGATGAGCCTATCACAGTCAGGAAAGGTTTGCTAGTTAGTGAAAAAGAATTGTAACTATCAATGGTTCCAGATTCTACAGGGAAAATGACATTAATTATGTTGAAAGTGTAAGCAGAACAAAAGAAAAATTAAGCCCCCCCCCAAGCAGGTTGTGCCTTGTATACTATTATTTTTATCACAGCTACACGTGGGCTCACAAGCACTCCCCACCAGCTTTCTTCCACTCATACCTGTGCTCGGCAATGCCTTTCAGAGCAGAGCTAGGTCAAGACTCAAGACTTCTGAAAAAGCTGTCCTAGAAATGTACTTCACTCTGATATAATTCTGCTTTATGGAGAATGGGATCACTGAGTATCATTGGAAATAGTTAATCTGCTGACTCTCTTTCAAATTCAGCCCTCTCGTATGCAATTATGATTACAATGTGTTCTTAGACATCCTTTTTTCTTTTTTTAATTAAAATTGTCCTTGGTGGAAATTACTTCATTGGACAAGACTCCAGGCAAAGGAACAAGTTCCCTTCTCCAAATGCACTTAACCGACATTCAAGCCCAGGCCCCAGATCCTAGACACTAGTCAAGGAACATTTGCTATAAATTACAGATAGGGATGCAAAGGTGGAGCAACACCATACTTGCCCTGCCCTGGTCCTGCATCCAACGCTGTGTTAAGATGCTTTTGCAGCTGTGTTTGCTCAAGAGACCACAGGAGCAGCTGAGGGATGCCCTTGCTACAGCTCCCCTCTCCCAGCTGCTTCCCCAGATCAGTCACCGAGTGGGGATTTGCCAGGTTGTTATAGAAGATCCTGGCAAAGACCCACTGGCAAAAGGCCACAATGCTATGGTAAAACTAACTGGACTAGCCTGTGGTCCCTCAGTTGCCTATGGTTTTAAAACAGAAGTAATTCATAAGTATAACAATACAGGTAGAAAAGTATCCTTGTTTGTATCCTAAGATAGGCCATTAGTTTGCTGCAAGATCTGGAATAAGATATATATGGCCGCTATGTTTGAATCAAAGTGATGTTCTCAGTCATAAAAGGGTACCAATATGCAAAAAGGGCTATTAATTAGCAGAGCTTCCTGGAAAAAAAATGAAGGCAAGCTCAATGAAATACACCTCTGATGTGTATTCTGCTTCCACACAATGCCAATTCTCTTACATATCATATATGATACATAAACATGTATATAGATGTAGTATATTCAAAGAATACTACAACAAACTATCAAAAGATGTTTAAACTCTGACTTTGAAGTGCTTCTCTAAATTGGAGATAAAGGACATGATTGGTTTAGGTATGAATCTGCATAGGTTCATGGCAGTATATGCTAGCAGATTGTCTTCCCTAAACCCTTTAATACAACATGCAAAGTTAGAATGGGGAAGATCTATGAAAACAGGCATTAAATTAACCTTTTGATAGCCATCTGATTTCTTACCGGCATTGATCTATTCTGGGCCAGATTTTAATATCTGTTATACCAAAATAAATCCAGAGTCACACCGTTAGGTTAATTCCTCTATAATACTTATGCCTCAATAATTTTGGTTACACACATGAATCTATTTCGTTCCCTGTGGGACCAGTTCTTTAACAGGTTAAATTGGTGTTGCTCCATGAAGCCAGCATAACTACGCCAATTTAAACCAGTTAACAATCCAGATCATGACATTAACAACTAGCAAACGGGCTTTAGGACCAGCAGCCAGCTGTCTAGACTTCTGGGCTACAAATATGACGTGGACTTTTTACACTGATGAGGTTTCCTTTAATGGAAGATAAATTAGTTGTGGGTCCCTTTTCTATTCAGGAATAGCATAGGCATCACACGCAAATCCTGAAGCAGGATAAAATAAGTCAGGTTCCTGGAGAGAGCTGTAATTTAAATGAAAGTCTTTGAGTCATGTCAAATATACTCTTCAATTAGCACACATCTATTCAGGCAGAACAGGAAATGGGGAAAGAAAATTTAAAAGGCCCTACTACATACTTGGCTTCAGAGTACGTGCATCTGAGCAAGGACCCGTGCTTAGACTGAAAACCACCAGCGGTACCAGATCTAGGACTGATTCCTCAGTCTTACCTGGCATTTTCTACTGGCCAAACATGGCTAGAGAAACACTAGCAGCAAAATCAGCAGAAGAAATATCGGTACCTCCTGACCCTCCCAGTGTCAAAACACACATGGGGAAATAGCCTTCTTTTAACTGAGAGCCCTGAAAACCAGCCGGGCTCTGCAAACACAGGTCTCGCAAGCAGGAGGCGGGAATCTGTGACAGAAATTTAGCAATTCCCATCACGCTGCATGAACCAGCATAAAAGCCAGCTCACACCCCCACAGCTGCTTCCCAGAGCAAGAGCCAGGGTTGCCCAACTATGCAAGAACAGGAAGGACTCTGAGTTAGCGAGGAGCAGGAGCACTGAGAGAAGTGTCACCTTCTACCACATACTCACATTTCTGATGAGATTGAAAATCTGTGACTACAAACACAAACCAAAGCTTCTGCTAAAGCCTCCCTAACCAAAATGTGAAATTACAACGTGCATTAAAACAATCCAACCTTGTATTTCTGATTCTTGGCTCAGCAGTTTTTCTGGCAGAACTTGTGCAGTGTATCTCTCAGGTTACCTTATTAGTTTCCCAATCCTTCTCTCACATTATATGTGCCCCTTTTAGAAGATGCTGCCAGGTAACTCTGATCCTCTAAATGTATCCTTGGTATCAGGAGATGGGCACATTCAGCTGAGGAGAATAAGAACTGACAGCTGAAAAGCAGATGCAGCTCGCAATACTGACATGGCACCTCTCCTTCTCAAACCCCAGCCTCATGCAAGAATTAAACAAAGAGCATGAGTTCAATATTCAAGTTATTTCAGCTTGAATAACTTAGGCCAGGATTTTCAAGGCCCTCTAGGGGTGAGATGCCCGTTTCCCATTAAAATTAATTAAATAAAATTAATTTTAATGCAAATTGGGTATCCAAATCCCCCAGAAAGCTCTGAAAATCTAAACCTCAATTGTTATTAGAAACCAAAGTAAGAAATTAGGCCTATTCATGTTCCCAAAGAAGTCAAGAGGAGTTTTGTACTGACGTCAATATGATTTTTTTTCTAAAATGTCTTTTTTTTTTTTTCTTTCTTCTGGATAGGACTCAGTTAACATCAGGGTTGACATTAAATTCCTCCTCTAATCAGTGCTCTCTTAGTTCCTTTCCTCTCAGGTCTAATTCTGTGTTTATATTTTTTTTCTATTCAGTACAGGGAATAGGCATGTATTTGTGTTTTACTGGAATTGCTTTACTTTGCCTCTTTAGGTACAGTTACAGTTTTTAATGGATTGAAATGCCACTCCAAGTAACTTTCTCATCCTGTGAAATACTTACTTGGGTTTATCCTTCATGAAACAAATGGCAAGGTTTTCCAGCCATGTAAAATGCTGTCACTACTGCAGACTCCACAGAAGACCCCCGGTCCCGCTGGATCCATATCTATTTACATCAGCAGAGGATCCGTTCCTACAATTTTACATTGTGGCATTCTGTTCCTCTAGGCCATTTTTCCCAGCTTTAATAGTGAAGAAATTAACACATTAAATTATTCCAAGCTACTAAGTCACAGAAAACCCTACATCGTCATCAGCCTTAGGTGGAAATAAACCAAATTCTGTTTGACGCCAGTGGAGAGACAGTGTCCCTGTATGGCTGGTTACTGGGCTTGGTGCTTCGTAACTTGTCCTGTAGCAAAGCAAAAGTGACCCCACTGAAAACATGAATCTTCATCCAATGCTTGTTTTCATAAGACCCCTTGGGGACAACGAATGTCACAGCCAGTGGTCATCTTTCAGTGAGCATTAGGCTCCTAGAGTGGTTGCAATTGCTCTGTGTTCACTGGGGTTACTCCTGATTTGCAGCATCCATACCAGAAAGAAAACCAGCCCTGAGGCCATACTCAGATTAGAGATTAATATCCATTGCCAACCAAAGCGGCAGATCTCGGTTTCCTCAACCTCTGGAAAAAGGAGTAGTTGGGCACGGCTCTTAAGAGCTCACTCCAGCTCTGGTACCGTTACTGCCAGCTTGCTCATTCACTAATCAAAGCAATTACACTGCCCCAAATCACCTAATTCCAAGGCATTTGTAAGCGTAAGTAACTGAAGTATTTTCCATGGAAGGACACCTTTTCTCTTGTATTAACATATATAAATGCAAAATAATAATGCTATCTTTCTTTCTTTTGGATGTCATTGGTGTCTTAGTAAGTGAATGTATTGTATTATGCTTCTGGACCTTAAACTTTACAACCCTTCCTTTCTACATCATTACATCTTGTTTAAATTGATATATTTCAAACATTTTCCTCCTTTGTTTTACTCTTCCCATATTAGTAAAAATCATCTTCGGCGTCCAGTGCGACATACATCCTTTCAACAATGCATCAGCTCAGATTAATGCATTGTAATGTCATTATTAATTCGGTTCTACATGGTCATTTTTCGTGTTCTGTTGAAGACAAAAGCAAACAAACAAAAATACAATTCATTCCACACTGTCATCCCTTTGTCCTGACCAGAACAACTCGATCGTGTTGAAGAAGGCATGAACCATATCAATCAAGACATGAAGGAGGCCGAGAAAAATTTAAAAGATTTAGGGAAATGCTGTGGCCTTTTCATATGTCCTTGTAACAAGTAGGTACTGGGTACCGGCTCTGCTATGTGGTGTCCAGTTTTTTGTCACAGTGAATGTCTGAAGTTTTTGTCTTTTTTTTCTTTGTCCTTTTCCATCTGCTTCATTCTGTGGGGATAAAATACTTGTGTTTAATCAGAACAACTGGAACGCATCGAAGAGGGAATGGACCAAATCAATAAGGACATGAAAGAAGCAGAAAAGAATTTGACGGACCTAGGAAAATTCTGTGGTCTTTGTGTCTGTCCATGTAACAAGTAGGTGCTGCCTGCCTCATCTCTTTGAGCACTTAAGGCTGATCCCAAAGGCCTTGTGAAGCTCATCCTTGCTAGGCACATGGACAGGATGAGCATGTGGCATGCAGAAAGAACGATTCTTCAAATGCATTCATCTCATAGCATAGACAACTGACTGGGAATTACTGTAGATGCATTAAAATCAGGCATACTGCAGTGAAAGCTTCACTGTCGACACCTTTTAATGGTAAAAGTTTCAACATTTTACACAAAGTGTACTGACTGGTTCCATTTTCCACCATACAAAAACACTGGGGCTACCTTATTCCTGGAGACCCTAAATTTTGAAACATATTTTCACAAACAAGCTTAATAAAAAAAACAATAAAGCTGAAAAATTGCACAAGAGGTCATAATAAACATTACTCAAAATTCTGGATGAAAATCACACAACATCGTTCAACAGAAATAGTCCTCAATGAGATCTTAAAAGAGACATGATGTTTCACAATTGGAACCCAACTTGAAATGGTTTTCATCCTGCCATAGGCAAGAAATTTGAGAAAACCTGAACATGCCATGCCAAATTTCTCTTGTTTGGGTAGCATGTACACTAAGCAGAAATGTTGAAATGCATCGAATTTGCTTGCATGCCATCACACTTGAACGAAACCGTCCTCCAAGTAATGCAAAGCTTGTTTTAAATGCCAAATGAAAATGTGATGTGCGGTTATGCGGGTGTACGAAATCAGGGACAAAGTGAACTGACCAGAAGTCCTTGAGGAACGGCAAATCCAGCATGCAGTGAGTAGGCATGCAACCAGGTTGCAGTGAAAACATTCATAAATGGTTGGGCAGAGACTGTGCAGGAAACAAAGCAGAGTGCAGCGGCTGTGCAGTATTATACTCCCTTTCTGTGTGGCACAGATACTTTGTTCAAAGCCAGGACCTGATCATACCATGATTATCAAGACCAGAGGAAAGAGAGCTGTCATGGAGTTCAGTGGGTGTTTTGGCAGAAATCAGAATGGTAGGACTGGGTTTCTGCCTTATCAGTCACCATTTATTTTGAAGTTAATTCCCTTGGGACACAACGCAGATACTGCCTCAGCTTTAGAAAAAACACTTTTGCTCCTGTGTACCAAGCCACAAATACTTCTCTGGGGTAAACATTTTGCCCCAAATATGTGTACTATTGCCTTGGTGTGCAGAATGGGAGAGAGGCAAGGAGGAATGGAAAGAGCTACGCAAACATACAGCCTTTTTCAATGGGACTGCCTGCAATTGGTATCAGCTCTGATACAGGCTTTAGCCCTGCTGTCCTGTACCAGATGACCCAGTGCAGAAGAGCATACAAGAGCATGCAGCAGAAACTTTACATCTCCCACACTCTAAAAGCTGTTGCAACTTAAAGAGGAACACTGTCCTGGCTTGCTCCTCCTGGAGAAACCTGGCATAACGTCTACACCAAAGGTTGACCCTTGAAGTACAAAAAATTCCGATGTATTTTGCAGGAATTGACTTTTTTTAAGAGCAGCTTTAATATTCTGTACTATAGGAAAGGCTGCACAGAACTGAGAGCCAGACCTATGGCATGGATAGGGTTAGCACCTGACACGTGGCCTTAAAACATTTACCACTTCACTACAATTGCAGTATCGTGAAATCAATAGATGTGAGAACAGACAGATACTGCATGTATTCCATCTGGGTGACATTCATTTTTAAAGGTGCCTCTTCCCTGCTTTAAGGCAGCATTCTGGCCTTTGCAGTCTGCAACCAGATTTCACAAACTAGCATTGCTAATCAGCCAGTGTGTTCAGAAACAGAGTAGGGATGAACAATGCTTTTAGAGACTGTTCCTTGAATCACCATGCCAGGACTCAACTGGTACAAATAAGATGATATTCTGAGAAGCGGAGTGTAGGAGGGAGAGAAATCCATACAGTTCTGGGCATCAGTATCACTATAATCCCCTAATGCTCTTCTGGCTGGTGGTAGATTAATGGCATATATTTTAAAAAAGATTAACCATCTCACACGTAGCTATACTCCAATATACAGAGTAAATACAACTCTGTAAAACTTACCAAAATGTAAGGCTTGATCCTACATTCTTAGGAGACCCAAAATGCCCATGGCATGACATTTTGACCAGACTGCATTCAAAAGGAGAAATGCTGTTGACCATGAGCAGACCCAGACTCCGCCTGTTGACTTTAACAGGTAGTCTGCAAGAAAACAGAGATCAAGGTTTGGGTGTATAAAGTCATTCACCTCAAACACAGAGGCTGTCTCACTCTCAATATTGCACACTTCTAAAGAACCTGTAAATATATGTGCAGCAGGAGAATTACTTTCACTCATTTCTAGAAACGCCAAAGCTGATGTACAGTTTCAGAGAACTAAGAACAAACAAGTCAACCATCATCATTTTGAGTCTTCACCAACTTTATTAGCAAATACGCAACAAAACAGAAGAGTAGGAAAGATCCTCTTTCATCTACATTTCAATTCTATACTGGAGCACGCAACACATCTTCAGGCTCAAGAGAAGCTGAGCTGCTTCAGAGGTCATGGAGAGAACATAACACCAGAGATGGGTTTGTTGTGTCCTTTCCCAAATCCCTCGGAAGTACGTTTAGTTTCTTCCCCAAAATCCATTGATTGGAGCTGACAGAAGTAGGGAAACTGTGGAGATCTACAGTTCCAAACAGGTGTGTTGGAAACCGTTCCATTTCTGGAATAAAATCAAGAACTTACACCTACAGACCCCAAACACTCACACTCTCCTGTTGAAGTGTTCGATCTCATCTGACAACCCCAATGACAGCAACCCTAAATATGCTGCACATGTTAATCTGCCACTGAAGGTATGCCTGGATTTTAATTTTCTATCCACGGCAGCTCAGTCAAAAATGGCTCTCTGAAAGCTAATGTAACTGTTGTACACAACAAATATAACAAGTTGCTAGGCTATTTTAAAGTCCTGTGGTTTAAAGCTCCTGAAGGAAGTGATGATCCATTTTTGCCTGTGTCTTGCTTATTGTGAAGGCTGTTACTGCTGATGCATTAAGAGTATGATGAACTACTGGGGCAACTGTGCTTAGTGAGAATGCTTCACTTCTTATTCATGCCTGTAGCTGGTGCATGAAGAAAAATGTAGAAAAATTTCCCTTTCTGATGCTAGATTGCTCGTATATTTTCTTTTCTCCTGCACTCATTTCACTTCTGCCTATTTTACTTTTTGTCTCTGTGGACAAAGGTTTGTACATCAACTGTCGATGTATGATTACTATTTTCAAGTACCGATATATTATTTGAAAAATCTAATGAATCCTATGAATTCTGTGAATCATCCCCAAATCACCTTGGGAAAGGTTAGTGGCTTTAAATGCCTATTATGCCACATACATGTTAAAAAATATCAACAGAAGCCAAATCTCCTGCATGGTAAAACGTTAAAATCTAGCCAAATCCATTTTTCTCTAAGAGGGTGTGTTGCTGTGATGTGATGTACACACTATACTTGGCAGTTCTGTTTTTATGTCTGTCTGCCAGTATGTTCTCTGTGTTTGATGTCAAAACATATGTGTCACTGAAATGAAACAATGTTTTCTACTTATCTGTATTTCTTCTCTTGTTTTTTCTTTTTCCTTTTTTTTTTTTCTTTTTTCTTCTTTCTGGAAAGTAAGTCAACATCCAAAAACCTGTGTGCGGTGTTGTAGACTTGACAATTGCAATTCACCCTATTGGAAACAAAACCTCTGACCATCACAGTTGTTGTGGCAGTAAAGTAAAAAAAAAAACAAACAATACCCAAACCCCTCCTTTTATTCAGGGTTATGATATATCGGTATTCAATTAACAACCCTCTATCTGAAAACTCATTTGCTTGATTCAGCTTTTAGCTTGGAGAAGTAAAGAGTTTTGCATTTGTCCTTGTCCACTTGATGCTTTGTTACTCATCGTCTTTTTTGCATAGGCTTAAATCAAGCGATGCTTACAAAAAAGCCTGGGGCAATAATCAGGATGGTGTTGTAGCCAGCCAGCCTGCACGTGTCGTAGATGAACGGGAGCAGATGGCCATCAGTGGTGGCTTTATCCGCAGGTGAGCCTTTTTATCCACTATTTTCTCTCTTTTCTCCTTGTCACGGATATATTTAGATTTCTTCCATATGGTCATGAGTTCCGTGATGCTCATTAACTCCTTCAGTGGTGCTGGATAATGCGATGGAGCCAGTGTTTTCCACCGAGTGGTGGGTGCTTAGATTTAGGTTGACGGTGATTAAGACAGGTACTAAAGGCTTACTGTGTCCACTGACTCTCCGGCCCTGTGGGCACGAGTGCAAAGGATGGTTACGTTGGTTACGATGGTTATGTTGCTGGAAGTCCTGGAAGTAAATATCTTAGCCCTGAGAACCAGAAGATGCTTGAAAATGTGGCCTAAGCCTTTCTCCTTGAGCCTGCCCAGATTTGGGCAATAATAAAGTAGAAGTAGTACCCATTTATTTACTTCACAGCAGCAATGTGAGGTTGCAGACTGTCATGACCAGCCAGCGCTGTCCTCTGCACTCCAGCTCCCCGCTATGAGCAATGCACTTTTCCTGGGGGCATTATTATGGGTCTCATTAATGACAGTTGTCAAATGCCTCAGAAATGAAGTGTCAGATAAATACTAGCTTATAGTTATTATGTCTCAAGATACGTAGTGCTCCTTATCCATCCTTGCCAGAAGATGTACCAAAGCATCCAACACCCCTTCCTTTCTTTTCTAAAAGAAAAAAGCCTCAGGCTCCCTGCCAAAGCACCAAGCCAAGTGCAGAACCTGAAGCACACTTTTGACTAGAGGTACACCACTTCCCTGCTCATGACTATCCAGAAAACCTCACTGAGTGGGGAATGATGTCTCATTCCTCAGCTGCTGTAAAGCCACAACTATGGAGAAATGCAGGCTTTAGCAGCAGCCCCTGTGCACTCCAATGAAAACCAGTTTGAAGCACACAGCTATACCAATGGCAACCAAACCACAAACTTTCAGCAATACACAGGGATCCAGCAATAAGTACATACTGATTACAGTGCTTATAGAGCATGTATTTAGATGACAATGCTATCAGCTGAATGGATAAAGGCATACCAGTAGGCAAAGCTTTGATCTTTGAAGATTAAGGACACTGGATTAATAAGTAATTATCTTTCCAAAAACTATTATCCACTTATTTTTTTGGCTGCTGTGATAAAGGGAAATCAGTGTGATAGAAACAATGCTGTCATGCAATCTGGAGCGTGGGATGGAGTTGCCATTTAAGTTTGCTGGGTCTGCCATTCACTTTTTTTTTTTATTTCTGGATGGCAGCCCCACCAAAATGAAGGCTGGGGCATGATAACAGAACAGCAGTGAAGATATGCTACACCATAATCATTCTGCAAAGAGCCTGCGGCGCCCTTTTGGCACCTACAAGAAGACAAATTGCACAAGATGCTCAAAGTAGTAATTTTTGGAGTGGGACCCATGGACCTTGCTTTTCCCAGCATCAGTCACCAACATGCCTCTCCAGTCACTGGAGACTTGAACTGAGCCTTGGCTCAAGCACAGATTTTGTCTTCTAAAAACCAAGCAACCAAAAATGACAGGGCTAAGAATGAGAGATAAAGGATCTTTACTAAAGCCAGCAAATCTGACAGAAGATGCTTCAGTCATTTACCAGAAATACATTTAATTAAATAGGGTGTTAGGGTCAGGATTTTCACAGCTGAAGCAGCTCTTCCCCAAAATTTCAGTGAGCCCCAAGTGTACAAGGACTGGACAGCATCCATTACCTATGTGTGGTTCAAGGAAGGGAGATGGTATAGCTTCAATTCCAACACCCTCCAGCATTTCCCACACACTCTAACCACACATGGGTTCAAATGGAGCAGCACCCTTTCATTCTCTGTTTGAGAAGGGCCATCACCAGCAGAGAGGTGCCATATGCAGTACAGACAAGCTCAGAGAGCAACACTTCTGGGAGCAGCAGACGCAAGCTGTATAAATGGAGCAGTAACAAACTCAGACAATTAAGCCCAACATCAAAAAAATAAGCATGTAATATTTTTTCAGGCTAGCTACTTATTGATCCCTTGTCTTCAAAGCTGAGTATAGCAGCATACTCCTCAGGTGACAAGCAGAGGAGGATGCAGGGGAGGTTTTGGGTGAATCAGAGTTTCAGGGGAACCTCCTCTGTCTCTGCTTCAAAGAACTGCTTTTTTGCTCCAAGGGTAACAAACGATGCCCGGGAAAACGAAATGGACGAGAACCTCGAGCAGGTCAGCGGCATCATTGGCAACTTACGTCACATGGCCCTGGACATGGGCAATGAGATCGACACACAGAATCGCCAGATTGACAGGATCATGGAGAAGGTAAGAGCTGGCATTTCTAAGGCGACCCCAAAAGGTGCTGTGTTTTCCCTTCTGCAAGCACAGGCTGTGCATACTCTGTGCATGCAGAGAAACGGTGCATGCAATTTCTCTTCAGCTCAGAGAGGGACAAGGGACAGAAATAGCTGCTAGAGCTCTTCTCTCTTCTCCCTCCAAATTGTTGGCCCAAAGCAGAGCTTGCTGCTGTAGATCTTCAGTAGCCTTCAGTGCAGGTCAGGTTGAACCCAGGCTGTTGGATTCAGGAAAAACAGCTGGCCAGGGGACACCCCTTACCACAAATCAAGGCTCCTTTTGCAATAGCTTTGGGAAAGGAGAAGTGCCCTGAGCTACTCAGAACCTCAGGGCTTGGGTCTGAATGCCCTGACACTTCCTGGCAAGTTTTAAACCTTCCTGGACTTTCCCTTCCCTCAGAAACTCCATGACCAACTCCGAATTGGATCACCCGTTTGAAGGACCAGTCCCAAAAAGAGGACAGTGTTTTATTAAGGAAGGCTTTGCCATATGGTAACAGTGCAACCAGTCTTGGTGTGCTGCCTGCTTATAACTACATTAAGGCAGAGATCTATCAGCTCTCTTGGTGTGTGTATATGTGTGTGTGTATACATATATATATATAAAAAAATAATTGGGTCCCACTTGGCCCCAGTGAAATACATACTATTGCAAAATCACCATCTAAAAAGTCAGGGAGCACTGTTCCAGTGCCAGACCTGCATTGCAGATTTCTGGAAACAGATAGCAGCACCCTCCAAACCCGGCTGGGAACTCACTGCCACCCTCAGATCCCAAGATCTGCTAGCCATCTGCATGTGTGCTGGCAGAGCTCCAGGCACAGGCACAGCCAGGCTGAAGTGACATAAGAGGCTAGATCTTCATCTGGTGTAAAATCAATATAACACTTGACTTCCGCTGAGATTTACACAACCTGAGGATCTAACCCAAGGACTTATATGTGCTGCTTAGAGTTAATTCTGACCTTAAGTGGTAGAGCTTGTACTCTTGAGCCTTCTTACACGTGCAAGCCTTCTCACACAATCAGGATGACCATGCCTATTTTTCATGTCAAGTAACTACATCAAAGCCTAGAGAAAAAAATCAAAGAAAATACGGCGCTGAGGAATTCACTCAGATAGCTTTCCTTTACTGGAGTTTGATTCCAGAACTGAGTGAAGTATACATTTGTCTTAAAGGTGAGAAGTTTGTCTCTGACAGAGGCATAGTCACATAACACAGTGGAGCACATGGCTTTGAGTTGGTCAAAGTTTTGTTTTACAAAGCTGCATCTGCTAGTTTGACTGTGTGATGCATTGACCCTGGCTGGACACCAGGTACCCACCAAAGATGCTCTATCACTCCCCTCCTCAGCTGGACGGGGGAGAGAAAATATAATGAATGGCTTGCGAGTCAAGATAAGGACAGGGAGCGATCACTCAGCAATTACTGTCATGGGCAAAACAGACTCAAATTTGGTAATAAATTAATTTCCCTATCAAATCAGAGTAGGGCAATGAGGAATAAAAACTAAATCTTAAAACACCTTCCCCCTACCCCTTCCTTCTTCCCAGACTCAACTTCACTCCCAATTTCTCTACCTCCTCCCCAAAAGCAGCGCAGGGGGATGGGGAATGGGGCTTGGGGCTAGTTCTTCACACACTGTCTCTGCCGCTGCTTCCTCCTCAGGGGAGGATTCCTCCCCTGCTCCAGCGTGAGGGTACCTCCCATGGCAGACAGTCCTCCATGAACTTCTCCAATACAAGTCCTTCCCGTGGGTTGCAGTTCTTCATGCACTGCTCCAGAGTGGGTCCATCCTTCCTACGGGGTGCAGTCCCTCAGGAGCAGACAGCTCCAGCGTGGGTCCCCCACGGGGTCACCAGCCCTGCCAGCAAACCTGCTCCAGCCTGGGTTCCTCTCCCCCCGGGGCCACAGGCCCTGCCAGGACCCTGCTCCAGCGTGGGCTTCCCACAGGGTCACAGCTTCCTTCAGGCATCCCCCTGCTCTGGCACAGGGTCCTCCCTGGGCTGCAGGTGGAGATCTGCTCTCCCCATGGGACTCCCTGGGCCTCAGGGGGACAGCCTGCCCCACCATGGCCTGCACCAGGGGCTGCAGGGAAATCTCTGCTCCAGCACCTGGAGTACCTCCTCCCCTCCTCTCACTCCTCTCTCCAGCTGCAGTTGCACAGGATTTCTTTTCCCTGCTTCTTAACTACGTTATCCCAGAGCAATACCACTGTTGCTGGTAGGCTCAGTCTTGGCCAGCAGCAGGTCTGTCTAGGAGCTGGCTGCAGTTGGTTCCATCAGACATAGGGGAAACTTCCAGCAGCTTCTCACAGAAGCCATCCCCATAGACTCCCCTGCTACCAAAACCTTGCCACACAAAGCTGATACAGACTGTCTTGGAAAATGCACAGTATTACTACGATGCCATTCTGCAGCATTTCATATTTCTCGGCAAAATAGGAGCATACAGGAAGAAGGATTTACCACTGCTATTCATATGAGAAAGCACTAGAAAGCAGCACATTTATCTACATCGTAAGAAAGGACTGGAAGATTATACAGCCTACATCGTAACTACCTTTAGATAAGAAGTCTAGGACATAGGTTATTCTCTCAGAGCAAGTATAAGGACACACACTATTACACATTACCAGCTACCCTACTCACGACAAACGCAGTGGCAGGAGACAAGCCCTGCAGATGGAAATCAGCTGCATCCTATCTGTGCCTGCAGGATACTATCACAAATTACAGCAAGCCCCACAAGTCACTGCTCTCCTATCAGCTCAGGCTTACAAACATCTGGATTTTGAAACCGTTGACCAGGCCCTTTGTGCACATGGGCCAAATCTCTAGGCTGTGCATGCTGAGAGCAGTTGGCTAACTAGCCTTCCACATCTATGCGGTCTTCTTATGGAGTCAGGCATTTCATACAGCAATAGAAATACAATATTGCAAGCTAATGTAATTCATTAAATCCAGGCTCACAGACAGGCCTCGTCAGGCAGATCCCTTGGCTAAAGAACAGTGACACATTTCTAGAAGATGGACTTGCAGTGTACACAGAGGAGTTACCATGAAAGCAGCACAAAACCAAGACAGTCTTCAGTCTTAGTGAAAATCTGCCAAATTTCTCAGAGTGAGGACACAGAGTAATGAGATACTAAAAAAGAAACTCAATGTATTAGGAAAACACGCTATAAAAGACAGAAGTGATGGTTAGCTGGATAATACTGCACAAATGCATACACATCCATTTTGCAATAAAATATGGCAACAGACCATCGTCCTTAGCTGGTGGCAGGCAATACAGCATTGCTAGAGTTGTTTTCTTTTCCTGACCAGCTGGAGCAGTGTGCTTCTGATCAGCTATGCTCTTTAGAAAGACCCTCGGCTGGCACATTTTGGAAAAGCTGGGGTGCATCACAAAACTAACTCAAATGCTCCTAAAGCATTTACATTAAACTGGATGTGTGCATCCAAACCAGAGCAATCTGGTAATGCAGAGATGTAATCTGATCTATCCACAGTAATCAGGATAGCAAGGCTTTATCCTTCCCTCAGATCAGAGAGAAATGAACAAAAACTAAAATGATGATGTGATGAGTAGGTCAAATGGCCCAGACATCATCACCAGAAGACCCTGGCCCTAAAATGATCCATAGATAGGAGGCTGGGAGGAAAGTAGAAAGGACTCAAAGCATTTTGTTTTGACCAAGGTGGGAAGGTCTGGGCAAAGACTCCCACTGACTTGGATGCAACATCATCCACCAGAGTTGGACCTTAGTATTCCTATTTAGGAATATTATGTTTCATCAATATTCAACCAATATTCATGTATTTCATGACAAACCGAACTGCTTCCAAAGCCATTAACTTATTTTTTAGGTAGTCTTTTGGTAAAAGCACACAAAACTATACTGCGGTAGACAAGGTCAAACTCATGGCTAAAATAGCATGGCTTATAACGAGTAGTTATGCTGATTTATGCTTGCTGAGGATCTGGAACATGCTGCTGTACTAAAAATACACAGCTACATAGAATTTGCCAAAACAATTAAGGAGAAAAGCCCAAGATATTTAAAGATGATTTATTGCACATCAGTATAACCATTTTTAAAGAATTTTCAAATGTATGTGGGAAAGTTGCTTCACCATTCTGTCTTTGCAAATTGGAGATTTAAAATAAATCTGTACAATTTAGATCCACCCCAGAGATGTGGGAACAATCAAAGCTAACAAAACACAGCCATCAAACCACAGAAAAGTGTTTGCTATTTGAGTTCATGCTTTTAAAGTGGTAACACAATTCTCACCTTTCCCACAGGTCCAATTTCAAAAATTGAAAACATTTTCTATCTAGTCCCTCTGCTAGCATAAGTCGGCATAGCAACGTGGGCTTGAATGGAGCTTTGCCAATTTTTGTCAGCTAAAACAATAGCTTTGTCTCCAAAACTAACTTCTGCAGAGCTACAGAAAGCCATGGTCAAAGTATCTTCCTGCTCAAAGACAACTCCTAAACCTCCCAAGTGGTGACATTTTATTAACAACATTTTACAAGCATGGCAAATGCTACCCCATGGAAGACAGTGAAGTTAACGGTTCAGCCTACGCTGCACTAAATTCCAGTTTGATTGCTTCAAATAATAGTAGAATCCCTGCCTTTTCTTAATTCCTGCTTGTGCTGCTGCCCAACGAGAGAGGTTCCTCTGTCTTGCAACTATGCTGGTGAACTTTGGTGAGAGAAAGGAATAATGGCATCACTCCTGCCTATTCCCTTCCTTTCACATATACAGCACAGAGATCCAGACTGATGTATTTCAAATAAATTTCTCTTTACCAGTGTTCCCTACATCAGATGATCTAGCTTCCCTGCTCCAGCAATTCTCCAGTACACTGACCAAAACTTTAGTTCTGACTGCGTGCCTGGTGATCTAAATCAGGAGAGAGTCCAGGTCCACTGAAGAGCACTGAAGCTTTTTACCAGTGAAATCCATGTGCACCTCATCAGTTCTCATCCTGTCATCCATTACTATCAATAGTGGATATATGTATCAATATATATATAGATATATATAACAATAGCACCAGCTACAGATCTAGCACAGCATTTACAAGAGTTCAGCGAAGCTTACTACAAACACAAAAGCTCTACTCAAAGGTTACCTGAAGTGTCAAAAACCCAGCAAATTTATCATTTCCTTTTGGGCCCCTAATACCACTATAAAAACAGCTCTCTGGTATTTTCAACCTTCTTTTTTTTCCCGACCTAGCCAAAACTAGACAAGTGTCCACAAAGCATTGTAGATGTTATCTTTCTGCCCTGTAATCATTTTCTTTCCTTTGTGTTTCCCTAGGCTGATTCCAACAAAACCAGGATTGATGAAGCCAACCAGCGTGCAACAAAGATGCTGGGCAGTGGTTAAATGCAGCAAAGTGCATTTCCTTTTAACACTGCCCAACAAGGCAGTACCTTCATGCTTTTATCATGGTATTTACCTACTAGGTTTGCACACATGCACATATCAGCCCCATTGTAAATGTTGTCCTGTGTAGTTTGTCAGCTTTCCAAAAATGATACTTGTAATTATTTTTTTCTAGATATCTTTCTTTCCAAAGGTTGTACATAGTGCTGATTTGATGGCTATAGCTCACTATGATATTTTTTGGGATTTTTCCTCTCCTTGTTTCTGTTTTCAATTCCTTTCCTTTTTCCCCCCTCTCTTCCTTCTTTTTTTTTTTAAATTATGTTTGCTGAATGACAACACTGTTGGAATGCTAAACGTGCTGTTAACCTTTAAATATACAGTATTGTTCTTGTAAAACTGTGACATTCCACAGAGCTACTGCCATGCTCCTGTCTTTGGGTATCATGATGTTTAAGCACTTAAACCTGCTGTCTTCGGTTCTTCATTGCCATTATCTGTTGTTATGATTTCATGATTAGACGATGTGGAATTATATTACTATAACAAGCATTGCACTAAAAAGTGATGTGATTTATGCATTTATGCATGAGGAATAAATAGACTTTTAGACTCCTACTTAAACAAGAATTTTCCCATGGCAGTAGCACACCAACAATGACAACAAAAGCATGCTCAGTATTCGGACTCTTTTGGGACTATGTTATACCAGCAAGTTTGCAGTTGTGCCACTTTTTTCTTGTTGATATATATAGTTATTAATCATAATCATTTTTTTAATTATGAAAAAAAGAGGGATTTGGCACTCACCATTTAGCCATTGCCAGCAAAATAAAAGCTTGGCTGAAAATACGTCAAAGACAAAAAGAAATAAGTGTAATATATTGGGTTTGTCTGCTGCTTTTGAAGACTATCTTTTGGAGGAAACGACTACCATATGAAATGGTGCAAAGAAATGTAATTTTTATAAGGCTCTCTCTTACTAGTCGCTATCCCCATGTGGTTTGTTATCGGTACAGTTCTCTGTTGCTTACCTAGAGCTATGCACACCAAATCGCTGAGATGTTTAGTAGCTGACTTAAATAAAAAATAATAAAAAAACCTAAATGAATGAACTCTAGATAAACTGTGAGATAAATATCATTTACAGCATGTAATATGAAATTCCTTATGTCTCCTGTCAGTTTGTGAAGTGATTGACATTTTGTAGCTAGTTTAAAAATTATTAAAAATTATAGATCTCAGAATCCATGCTTGCTTTATCCATTTGTTGCTCTACGTGTCAGTGACAACTAGTTATTTGCCACTTACCTGGGAAAAGGAGAAGTGCAATGTCTAAAGACTCTTTACAAACGAGTTCTGTATTACGCGTGGGGAACTGAAGATTTCTGTTTCAATACTGTATAACCATAATTACTCTAAAACCAGTGTTTTATACTCAGCACATTCCAAGCGAATGTTATCTTAAATAACCTGGCTTGGCTTGCCAAACACTGAATCAAAATATATTCTCTTGTTCAAGGGAAAGAAAAAATGAAATAAATGTTATGGTACAGAAGGATACAGTTCCTTAGCCAATAAAAATCTATTCCTGTAGTGGATCTAGCCACGTGCTAATACACCTCTTTTCAGGGAACACTTTGAACTACAGAGTTTGTATAGTCTGCCAAGAATAATTTTCTCAAATGCCTAACAACAGCTAGTGTTTACTGCCAGTGAAAAATGTTATCATATTTTCCCAGGGTTTTTTTCCCTATATGGACAAATTATAATTAACTCCGCATGAGTGACAGTTCACTCATGTGTCTCACATGGCCCTAAGTCAAAATACACAAAGAACATAAATGCTTGCATAATTAAAATCACATGATAATGTAGACAAGCTATACTTTCTTTAGCAGCTTTTTATTTTTAGTATCTATTAAAAATTCATTTATGCAAATATTTTCCCCCACTGCTTCAAACCAAAGAGTAAACTTCAAGCAAACATTTTTAATCTGCTGGCCATTTCCAATCAGGTTCGTTTGGGGATTCTAGTATTTGTGACAGCACTACCATTCTGTAATGCCAAAGCCTAATGAAGAAGGGCAATAATCATACCAGAAAATGCGTCAGTATGGGAACATAAAATGATATTTGAGAAGGGCAAGAAATAAGAAGGTAATGAAGATATTAATGAAGGTATTATTCTCATCTGTGTGAGAAGAATGCACCCTATCTGAAGACAACCATACTTCCAAAAGGCATTAAAGCTGATCAAAAATATAAGCTGTTGCTGTGAAGGAAGTCACAATGCTTTGACATCTGGTTTTGTCTTGAACAAAGATCAAACCCCAAACTATTGGAGCTTTTTGCCAAATGAAAGTTTAAAGGATAGAAATATTGAAACATTTCATTGCATTTGTCTTTGTATCCTCCTCCACTGTATGCAGGGTCTCCTGGGAGATGGCTGAAAATTACTTAAGTAAATAAGTTTCATATATTGCATTTCTCTCATGTTTTTGGAAATTGACTTTTGTAGGATTAATTATTCTTGAAGTAATTCAAAGAAAGGCTTGATCTCATGCAGTTTGCTATTAGAACAATCCACCTCTTAAGTTTTGTGCACATCAATTCCCTGATGTAGCAGCTGACTCAAATGAAAACTCCCTGAGGCTGGGCGAGCACAGTGCACAGTTACCCACTGGAGGGGGGAGGCTCATGAGAAGGAAAGGGACACAGCAATGAGTTGGAATTATTCCAGCAAGGAGCTAGAACTCCCACAAGATAAAAAAGTCACACTGACCATGGAAGCAAAAACCAGCCAGATTCTTCTGAAGGCAAAGCCTTCTTTTCCCCGTAGGAAGTTTCCCTTTGACCACGTTATGTTTTCCAACCAGTGATTTCTTTAGCCTTTGTACCAGTGTCATCTGTAAATCCAGGTTTGAGAGGAAAAACAAACAAGCAAAAAGATATGAGAGTGCTTGAAGACACAAAACTTCATGAAATATCACTTATTTCTAGACTTTTAATGCAATTTCACCAACAGTTTGTGTGCAACATAGCAAAATCCTCATGTTGGTGTTGGTTTAAGGTGGTCAGAGGGGAAAGGGTTTTTCATATTCTCAAGCTGAATGAACTACCCAGTTGGGGTATTTAAAGTTTTGCTTAAAAACTCAAGTCCAACTGAAAGGCAAACTTCTGTTCAGCTCTGCAAATCCACAGTTAATGACTTCTTTCGTATCATGCATTCTCCTCCTTTCCTAGTCTAGGCTGGCAATGGAAATATCAAAATAAACCCAAGGAAAGATATTTGAATGTTATTCCTCAACAGAACAAAATTCATAAGCAGTGTAATATCTCATGCAAAAAAATCAGCTACATTAAATACCTGGCCCAATTTAAGCAGGGAGAAACTAAGAGAGAAAACTGGAAAAGCTAAGTAAAAATCAAGGTGGCTTATCTCAAAGAAACCTTAAACCTTTTAGGATGTTAATGATTCCCAGCCTTAGCATAAACACACAGCTTCTAAACTCAAGAGACCGTTACAGCTTTCTAGATTGACAGAAATGCAAGAAGAGAAACTATGGATCATACACAGCACCTTGTGGTTTGATAGACCACATCTTATGAAAAGTAGATGGACTTGACGTAAAGGTACAGCATGAAAAATAATTGATTAATATTCCTTGAAGATTTGGTGCTATTACTGTAATAACAGAAAATGATAACCCTAAAAACCAGTAATGACTTGTTTTGTTGGGTTTTTTATAAAGAAATGTAAATTTGATAAGCTTACATGGGTTAAATACAATACATCCTTAATTTCTGAAGAAAACTAAATATGCCAGAGTTTGCATGGCAAACAGTAAAGCACCCCCTTAGAGAGATGCCTGTGCTGGATGACACACTTAGTACGGATATACTTTAAATCTAGAACTATAGAAGACAATTATTCTCCAAAATATTCTGTGTGTCACACTAGTAACTGATAACCTCTGCAGGCTTTGGGTATGGACCCGAATCTGGAGACAATGCTCAAGACTTATTGGAGGGATGTGGAGGCAGAGGAATCAATTCCCACACTTTTTTCCCCTCCCTCTTTCTTCTCCTACATGTACATATGCACATATAAATCTTTTATTTTAAATGCATTGAAAAGGGAAGAGACAAGTACTTAGTAATAAGGAAAATTATGTGTGTCAGACAGCTTAAGTATATGCACTGCTGCTGTGTGCGCCTGTGGGTGTAGGTGCGCAGGATGTGACTGCTGTATTCTGACCCATTTTGTTGCCTTTCTAGAGAGAGATGGGGACAGTTTGTTTAGAAGTTAGTACAACATGGAGTATTTTTAAACCCGCAAATAGCTACAAGAAATGCTGATGCAGGAGATCAACCCTGCTAAGAAGTTAGGGCACTGGGCTGGTTCAAGGGCGGTGAGGAGGGCAGGTTCTAGCCAATTTATTTTGCAAAGCACTGCCAAATAGTGTTGGAACCTCTCTGTAACAGTATCCAGAGAGATTATGTTTGTATTGTAAAATACCAAGGAGTTTTAATGCATTTAGTTTTGAATGTTATTTTTTAATCCACACACACACACACACCCCCAAAAAACCCAAACCCAAACCCCCACAGAAGATGGGAAGGAAATCAATAATTTTGTGGGACCATGCTGATTCTCACACATTCGGGATCTATTCTGCTGCCCATGCAAAAACTGCACATAACAGGGTAACCAAAGTGGTCAAGCAGTGGGTAGCAGATGGTGGGGGTGCTCATTTGCCTGGTAGGCTTCACAGCTGCTTGCTGCAAAGTGAGAAGTATCAACTAGGGTATACCAGGGCTCGGTTATTGCCTTGGTTCAAAACAGTGCTGGGGAGGGGTCTTTCATGGGAGAGTCCCCACCTTCAGCTGCCTTTTCTCCCCACCTACCAGACCACAGCTCCCTCCACACTGTTCCTATTCCAGCGCACCTCTGTCCCCAACTTCTCCCATTGCTTTTCTCAGCTCTCCTCATTCCC